TTGCAAAATATCCAGGCAGATACTACCATCCGCATATACTGAAAGCGCAGATTTATATATAACGAGGAACACCGAATGTTTTCCAGAGGAGCAGCAATGGATAGACGAAGAAGATGGACTTACTGTTTGGATGAAACATCCGTGAGACAAAACGAACTGTTGGAGGTTTGTTTGGGTAGTCCTCTGAAAACTGGAGGGTCAACTTAAAAGTTCCTGAAGAAGTGCAAGAAAATGCATAGCACAAACAAGGACTCAATAATTAAGAACGGATAAACGGGATATGTCAATGTAACGAGGAACTGAAATATATATTAAGCACCGAGAGCTTCATGGCAGCTGATGGAAGAGACTCAGGAAGTACACTAGGAAAGAAATACATAGTAGAAGCTACTTGAAAAATGAAATAAAATTCAGATATTTTATTTAATTTTCGATGCTAAAGTACACCATTGTTTTCATATTAAGAAGATGATTTCCTCCATGAAGCTTTAAACGAGCTTAAAAGATGATAATATAATGTACCAGCACGTCGGGAATCTAGACTAATCAAGGTGAAAACTAATGCCGATAACAACACAACCCTGAAGAATATCCTATATACAACATCTTAAATAATGCCAAACTCGAGATGAGCCTACACAAGGAGAGGGGGGAATCTTGGGAAAGTGGTGGGGGAACAAGAACCCTAGAAACAAAAATTAAGTCCTACTAAGGAAAAATCCGCAGATAAAAAGAACTTTCACCACTTCTAATCCATACTCCATAGGACAATCCACTCAATATACCGACATACTAATGCGATTCCAATATGGAAGTTTTCTTGAATTCAAATCAGGGTACAGCTTATTCAAGGATATCTATCACAAAACTTGTCACTTGTGAACCCAAAAATGGTTAAGTGCGTAAAAGGATCAAATGAAAGAAACTAGGCTAACTAGCATGCAACAGACGAGTTACTATATCAAATCGAAGCCATAGACAAAGGAAAACATATATGGAGAAACCCATCTAAGATGAGAAACAATCGGATTGCATTCAAATGAGAAAGGAAGGATCACAATCACAAACCTCCATCCCATGGAGTATCATCGGGTCTGCAAAAAAAGAAAAAGAAAAGGCCATGAAAATCAAGTCAACTCGGAGATTCAATGCAAACCCAGAGCAGATAATCAAACCCCAAGCACATTTGATCGAGAGAACCCGAATGTCAAGCATACCCATGAGAGAAAATCAAATCACAAGCATAAAAATCCTGAGGAGAGATTGGAATTCCGGCACATCCAGAGCGAGAATCGGATTAAAAGCTTACACACAAGGGACGACGATCAGATCAAAGAAATACTGAGAAGACGCAATCACGGGATCGGGGGAGAAAAACCAAAATTTATGATATACCCAGAAAGAGAAATTTCAAATCGAATCGAAATCACGTATACCCCAAGTCAGTCACGATGGAAAGATTCAACAGAAAAAGGGAAGGAGGAATCACCCGAAGATAACAGCGTTCCAGAGCATGATGTTGTTATCCTGCGGAGCGCCGCTGATTCCGGCAGGTGGATCCTGTTGAAGCCTCTTAAAATCCCTCATCAGCCGCTTCCTCGCCGGCGTCGACATGGTTTCGCCGACGTTGGAGAGAGAGAGAATGAAAACTGACGAGGAAGGGACAGAGAGAGAGAGGTATATAAAGGAAAAATCTTTACAGAAAATTCAAAACGCATACACGTAGATTCTTTAGAGCTGGAAAGACATTTGAGGTCGTCGCTGATTTTTGTGTGCGGCGGATCTCAAAGCAAAAGAAACTGCAAAAGATAGAATATTTTTTTTTCTCTCACGTTATCTTTTCCTCGCAATTCTTTCCGTTCACCATCTCCATTATTGCAAATTTTGCAAATTGCCCCCTTAACATGTTGCGTTATGGCCCGCAGTGTGTCGGCGGTTATCTTCCATCTTATTTCTCATAAGGTCCTCCTAGTTTTTAGATTTGTTTGTTTTCACCTCGATTTTATGTTTCTTCACAAAAAAATCCTTCGACATTTTTATTTTTGCGCGCGCACACACAAAAGAAAAGGCCATGATTCCTAATTCAACGAATTCTGAAACTTTTGAAATATGGTGTAGTTATGTAAATACATGAAATATCCGTCTATTTTTGTGAATGTCCAAACAATTAAGACTGAATTGATATAAAAAAATAATAATAATGGAGCATGTTGAACACAACTTGATGTATATATAGACACACTCGTAGGTATTCATGAAGCAAGCAGATATATAATATACTTTTTTATATTTTGTATTATGATACTAAAAAGACATGTGAAAGCGAATCTCGCCAGAGTAAGCAAGCAATGAACATTTCTTTTTCATTGCTTACATGTCCAACGTTTAAAGATATTCTCATATAAAATACATATATTTTAATTTTATTGTTAATTTTCAACTGATATAGCAAATTATAAAAAATAAAAAAAAAACCAACGGAATGATAAGATATGAATGTTATCTTTATTAAAAAAAAGATATAAATGTTACCGTGAATAATTGTTTTTCAAAATATAAATATTTTGACGAACTGATATAGCAAATTATAAAAAATAAAAAAAAAACCAACGGAATGATAAGATATGAATGTTATCTTTATTAAAAAAAAGATATAAATGTTACCGTGAATAATTGTTTTTCAAAATATAAATATTTTGACGATAATTCAAAAATATTATTTTTCAATAAAAAAACTTTATACTATTTTAGAATTGATATATATTCTTATCTGTAAGGGAAAAAAGTTTATGTATATTTGTTTTTTTGAAAAATTTCGAGACGTATTTTTAAGGATTTTTTCTACTACATTTAGAGACAGCGTCCAAACAACGCGACGCGTTCAAAACGCAGAACGCTGAAAAAAGCTTTATTTATGTTTGGGCCGTAACCATATGGGTGCTTTTCAAAACTCTCTTTCCCAGGACGAGAGCATGGCTGCTTCTCCGTCTTCTTCTTGTTCTTGTTCTTCTTCTTCTTCTGCTCTTTCTCGTCGAACCTGTTTCCTCTTCGTTCGTCCTCTTCTTCTTCTCATTTGCTTGTTATCGTTCGTGATTGCCACGCACGCTTTGCAAGAAACGTCAGAACTCAAAGGTACTGTCTCTTACTACTGTTTGCTCTGTTCCTGTTACGGTCCGATTTGATGTTTGCTTCTAGGTTCCTCTGTTGCTTGTGATTGTTCTAACATGTTTAGTTGACAAATTTGCTTTTAATTTGGTCGGTTCATGAAATTTTAGGGCAAGTGAAGGAAGTTTTTCGATTTTTGTCACAATGTCTATGGCATTTCGCTTTTAGGGTTTGGAATTATGGAATTTCGAACAATCAGAACAAATTAGAAGCTCTTGTTTGTAAATTAGAAATTTTTACTTGGATTACTGGTTTGGATCGTTATGCTTTTGTATGACAGATGGGAAATTGAAAGATGATCAAGGGATTTTTGTGTTTTTCTTCTAGGAACTCGCATTGCCAATGGTACACGATCGAATTGGGATGCTGAATAACTGATACCCGTTCGATTTCAGGAACTGCGTTTTGGTTTTCGTCATTTGTTTTTTCATGTGAATATATCTCTTGAGTTGGAGCTTTTTTTCTATGAAAAAAAATCATGGGGCTTTTATGGTTTTGAAAATTTAGTTGTTAAGTTCATTGCAATTGATAGGATCTGATTATATTTCCTCTAGTGCTGAAGCTTTTCAGAGACAACCTAAATGTTCTTTTTTCTGGCTCAATAACCTTGACTTGTAAGGAAATCAATTTGCTGAAAAAGGGTGAAGAAATAGGAAATCTAGTTGTAATAATATGGTTTCTCATATATTTTGGAGTAAAGAATTGGATGGAGTACAAACTCTTGGTGGAAAGTTTACTTTTTTGCTTTCCGGTTTGGCTAAAGCCTTCCTTTTGCAGTTATTGGATTGAGGCATGGGAAACATTAGCGTTTGACATGTAATTTAATCTTCAATTCATTACTTTTTTTCCCTCTCTAATTATGCTTATCTTTTGATTACTTTGGAATGACATTCGGATTTCAAATCTCAGGTGTTGGTCCAGGGGATCCAATTCTAAATGTCATCCTTGTTCCTCTTGTTGGGCAGCAATCTGTTCATGGGGTTAAGGAAGTAATTTCATGTGAGCGGGTTCAAATTTCTGGTTATTCAAGAACGGAATTACGGAAGTATGCCAATTCTTTTAGGGTAAACTTAGCTCCTGCAGCAACAATCCCAGAGAGGCTACATGGTAAAATTAATGTTTGTTTTCACCGGTAAGTAAAATATGGGATTTAGCTTCTGTATTCTTACTCTCTCTTCCACCTAGTTTCTAATTTTGAATGTAGAAACCAGCAAGGTGGTCTGAGTCTCATCTTTTTATGGTCTTCCAGGAATGCTTCACTTGGATTGTGTGAGTGCAAGAAAGATGATTGGAAAACTCTTCACAAGGGGCTGTGGAGCACTGTCATGTCGCCATATGATAAAAGATACGTTGATGTGAAGTTCAGTGGTGAATCATCTGGTTCAGTTTCCTTCTCTGTTGAAGAAGGTTTCCTCTTCTCTCTCACTCTCTCTCACCATTTTTCCTCGTCACTCTTGTTTTTTGATGACTTTTGCTTTCTTGTTATGTTTTCTTCTCTGCAGATTTTCAGCGATGGCGTCTCATCTGTCTCTTGATTGGGTTCGTCTTGCTTTTGATGGCGCCAATCGTCAGCAGTTGGCTTCCTTTTTACTATAGTAGTTCGATGGCTGTCGGTGTTTTCCTGGTCATTCTAATTCTCCTTTTCCAGGTAATTTTTACCTTAAGTCTACCAAAAGTTTTGATTTTTCTTTGTGATCTTTGTACGTAGAAAGAGAGGACATCTTAAGAAGAGAAACATGAAATCTTGAAGAATTTAATCCTTTACTGGATTACGCAAATTTGATGCCGAGAAATTTATGAGATTAAAGAGACAAGAAAAAAGAGCTCATGAGTTATTCTAGGACATCAGTTGAGTTTGGGGCATTATCTCCCTTTCCAGGATACATGAATGATGTCGTTTCAGTTTATTCGATTTAGCATATTATGATCTCAAACAACTGTAATTTCACTTTCCAAAATTTCCTTGCTTGTCGCTTCCTATTTGATCTCATACGATCTGTTTTGAACTAATGTTCATTTCAAATTCTTTTTCAGGGCATGAAGTTATTGCCTACTGGAAGAAAAAACTTCTTGTATCTTACATTATATGGATCAGTGGTGAGTATGATTTTCCATTAGTGTCTCCTAAGTTTATTTTTCTTTCCTTTTTTACTTTATTATTCAAAGTTCTGACTTTCAACTCTTGTTACAGTTGGGGGCTGGATCTTTTATCCTACATCAGTTCTCTGTGATGGTGAACATGATTCTGGTCAATTTTGGGCTGAGCGAGGACATGTACAATCCGGTAAGACATCATCTCGTTTCTGTCATTGATGTTTTGAAATTCTTTCCCCGCTTTTCTAACAAGTATGAGGCTCTGTTTAAGAAAAAATATCCATCACGAGTTTGTTACGTATCCCATAGTTCCCTCGGTAGATACGAAACAGAGGTTGCCTGTTCATTTTTGTAGAGGAGAAAATGTAGTAGATACTGAATCATGTGAAAGAATTGCAAATTGCAAGAGATTGATGGGCAAGCCAAAACTAATAACTTTTGCAGGTTGCAGTACTCGTCTTTGTGGGAATTGTCATAGCGGGAGCTGCTTTAGGATTCTGGACGGTGAGGAAATTTGTGATTTCAGCAGATGGAGGTGTCGATGCTAGTGTTGCCCAATTTGTGAAATGGGCAATGCGTACTATTGCCACTACATTCATTTTCCAGGTATAGTGTGTCATTTACAGTGCTCTAATCTATTCATTATATAATTCAATAGCATCTGTTTTAAAATTCTACCATCCTTCTATTTCAGAGCACTCTTGATACCCCTTTGGCGATGGGAGCTTTAGTTTCATGTAGCACCTTCTGCTTTCTCATCAGCAAAATAATGCGTAAAAGGTATCTGTCAGTTCATCTTGCTTCTCTTTCTTATTCCATCTGTTTTAGCCTAGTAAAACGTACTAGTCTGAAGTATCTCCAAAATGACCATATTTTCATTCAAATTCGTGGTCACTCCGTTATTATTTTAACTAGAATGATTCGAGGAATTTCCTCACTGTACTGAGGATATTTGCCGTTCAAAAAATGTCTATCTGATGGAAAATATGGCTACAATGGGGAACTAAAACATCATATTGATCTGGTTAATTCAGAGCCTGGATGTAATCTAGTTTGAGATTGTGTCATAGAAGTAAATCTTTTATTTTCTTAATTTAGGAAAAATCTTGAAGATCAGATACATTGGCAGCTCGTATCTGCAAAGAAACCCACTAAACATGGACGAGCTGAATTTCTTAGCAGGTCGTCTCAACCAACCCCCGGAAGAAGTCTATGGAACAATCAGAGGAATGTACCTTTGATCTCCGGCTCTCCTGCCAGAGGTATGCTTTTCTTTTCATGCTTGCGCCTGCCAGCCATGATAACCATTACAGGTTGTTTAACTTTATTCATCAAACATCATCATCCTGCTATAAATGAAATCGATTTATATCATCTCTACTCCCTCTCTCTGCCCAAAGACTAACCAATCCCATCTTCAAATATAAATTCCTGCATAAACCCTCAGCTGTAATAGTCTCTCAAAAACTAAATTTTGGATAAATCTTCAAGCTTTTTCTCCATTTCGTAATGGGTATGCTCTGTGTTGGCTTTCCACAGAGTAGCAACCTTTTTTTGGGTATCAACATCTTCATTAGTTGTAACAGGTATGATGATCTCACCGTCATCCTCTGCGAGAAGACGGAGAACAGTCCAGAAGGATTTCTACTCGACATACCACAGGACACCAAACCGGAAGAAGTTCACAAAGAAAGAGTGGGAAGAGTTCACACGCGAGTCAACCCGCCTAGCCATGGCGGGACTTGCATCTTCCCCTGAATTCACAGATTGGATCATTGAGCATGCTGACCGGATCCAGCTTCTGCCCGGCGAAAGCTCTGAAGAGATAATGGGAAGTGAATCAGATTCGACTGGAGATGATGTTGTTGAGCAGTGGAACCACTTCGGCTTGTAGAGCTGGTAAGAGCCTTCGTCTACATTTACATGGGTTCTCTCTTATCATGACCTCGGCATAGATATATCGTTTTTTAGTAGGTCGAAAGGTTTAAGATTATTATTGAAAGAAGGGTCAAATGGGTTTGTATACCACGCTTTCCACATCTAGCATAATCTGAGTTGAATTTGAAGTGGGTTCAGGACGGATTAGGGATTAAAGGTTTAGAGTTTAGCCATTTAGGGTTTAAGGGATGCGTTCAAAGGTTCTTTATTCATGCATTTTTTCCCCCTTTCTGCACTCAATTTTGGTGGTTGGTGCATTTGGTTCTCTAGTTTTGTCTACTCACTTCCGGCCCCTTAGATCCGAGAAACGTGGATTCCATGAGTTCGGGTTCGTAACTTGATTGAGATTATAGTAGACCGATTAGGATGTTTGTATTTGAATTTCACAATTTATATAAATATCATTGATATTTATTAAAAATTATGAACTTATTCTTCATTTAAAAATTACGAAATTATCTTGATTTTTAAAAATTTATAACAACAATGATAATTATTAAATTTTTACATTAATTGTTATACCACATTTGGATTGGGATATCTGCATATTCAGATATCCAAATATGTTTTCGAATACTTGATCAGATTTCAGATTCTAGTATTAGAATTTTTTTATACTAATTCTAATATTCTAAAATTTAAAATTTGAGGATGACAGAACAAGATATAAAAGAACTCATATGCCTCCCAAATCGAGTGACGTGAAAAAAAAAACTCATGCCATAGAATCCTAAACGTGAGCCAAATCTAGAACATGTAAACAATGAAAAAGAGATGGTTATTGCTTGCTTAGTCATTGGGCCATAGTGCTCTATCGAATATATAATTATAATTTTTTAATGAATGAAATAAGAATATGAAATTATATAATATAAGATAAAATCGTATTAAAATTGAAGGCGAAATGATTAATTAACGATGGCCTACCCCTTTCACACTCAAGTATCACCTTCACGCACCAAAAATGCCACGTCGATAAGAGTGACGTTATCTTTCGATAACCTTCGACCCTTCGTAAATTTGAGCGGCCATTTTTGTGCTCTCGTTCTTATTCACACACAACTATCAACATTTGGATAATATGCTAATAATAATTGCAATATTGGTTTTTGTACCAACGGAATCTTGGTCTTTTCGATCCAATCAACTGAATCTACTGTCTATCATGCTGGAATTAAAAACACATTGTTGAAAAATATAATATTCTATTATTCGGTCTTGGTGGTGTGAATACACATTAAAGAATTGCAAGTGTTGGAACAGCGAGTGGCCATACGACAGAGATCCGTGGATCCGTTACACAAACACAATGACGGCTCGTCGGAAGTTGAACCGTGGAAAGTGGGACCCACAAGAATCTACTTCCAACGACAGTCATCGCAGTTCATCCATGGAGATCATGACACGTGGAATGGCCGCTAGATTCCGGTTCAATTCGGCGGAAACAGGCGATCATTTATGCGTAACAGTTAACACAATTCAAGCAGACATTATCCCAGCCAAACACATAACCAAATCTCATTGCATTATCATGTTGTTATGATCCCGTCAAGTTACCATAAGAACCATTACAACTTGGATATGAAATAAGTCACATATTATCTTAACTAATTTTAATTGATCCATATTAAAGTGTATAATCGAATTATTTTTAGAACGAATATTTGAGGGATAATAACTTCAAATCACTAAAATATTCATGGACAATGTTTTTTTCTCCTAAATTAATCCAGAGTATATATGATTTTTAAAATAATTACTATCCCCATTTCTAAATAAATATCGTTTTAATTTTTTTGGTTATTAAATAGATGCATTGTAGATATTTTAAGTGATCTTTTTAATAAAATTTTAAATTTAATCTTATTTATAAAAATTTAATTTTAATACAATATTCATAAAAATGTTTTTTCAGTTAGAGTATATTTTATAATTTTTTTAAAATTGTGATAATTGCTAAATCGATTTAGAAACAGAGGAGAATAAAATTTTGAAAACTATTAAATGGCGTACAAAAAGGTGCAAGGGACAATAAGCTACAATTTCAGGGGTATTTCCGGAAATATGTGAAAATGTCAGTGGCCCATCTCCTCTGGCTGGTGACAGTAATTTTCATTTTTTGTTTAAAAATAAATAATTTCTTCGTCTCCCCTGCTTCTATACAAAACCAACTTCCTTCTTCCTCATCTCCTTCATCCAAAAGAAAGAAGGGGAAAATTTTCTCTACCCGCCTCTCCTCTCTCGTTCGATATGTTTCTAATTTGATCAAAAGTGAAAGAAAAATTCGAAAATTCGGAGAAAACTCGGAATTATTCGATCGGAGGGGAAGACGGGGAGATTAGGAACCTTCTTCATTCACAATTGTATATACTTAGAACTTGTTCTGGAAATTCTGAGATTAAGGGCTTGTTATTAGGTTTCATTAGGAGTATTTACAGATTTCTGAAAGTCGGGTCGAAGAAATTTGTGTTCTGCTGGGATTTGTTTGATGGGTTTTTTGGTGGATACGCAAAAGGAAGGAGGAGGCCATTCATGGGGTTGCGTCAGGAGCCTCGTGAGGAGGAAACAGGTCGACTCTGCTCGCGCCAAAGCTGAGGGTCATCATCAATTGGCTAAGGCCTTGACAGTTCCTCACTTGATTGCAATCGGTGAATTTATTATCTTCCAAACTTGTTTCTTGGTCTCAAATTGATCCGAGGTTTTTCGTTTTTTGGGTCGAAATTCTGATATGGGTTTTGAGAATTCTGGGTTCTTTTGAGATTTAAAACGTTGTTTGGTTCTTGCTCATCTTTTGATTGTCTACAAAGAATATCTTATATTTCATTGGTTTCGAACGATTTCTCTCCGATTTCTTGTCTCATCGCAATTGTTACTTAAATCTCGCGTTTGGAAGTTATGGGCTTTTAGGTGTTTTTGTTCATCGCCTGTAGGCTGCAGTTCGCTCTTTCAGATAAAAGTTTTAAGCTCCTGGTTTAAAGATTGTTTCTTTATTATTATATTTCTTTGGGATAATATTACTCAGCTTTTTTAGTTGAAGTTTTTATACTATTCCTTGGCTTCTTTTTATACTAAGTGTTTGGGTTTTCTCACAATATTAGGTGTTGGAGCAACAATTGGAGCCGGAGTCTATATTCTTGTCGGAACAGTGGCAAGAGAGCACTCAGGACCGGCTCTCACATTTTCGTTTCTGATAGCCGGGATTGCTGCAGCTCTCTCTGCCTTTTGCTATGCCGAGCTCTCTAGCCGTTGCCCCTCGGCGGGCAGTGCTTATCACTACTCTTACATTTGTGTCGGTGAAGGGTATGCTTACTTCTGTATTAAGTCATCCTCCATTTCCTTAGGGCTTGGATTTTCAGTTTTTATATAAGTTGATGGGTTTGGAATGGTGCATTTTTCTATTTGAAGTTTACTCATTTATGAACTCTGGGGGTGTTTTATTGTGGCAGTGTTGCGTGGTTGATTGGGTGGGCGCTGATTCTGGAATACACGATTGGTGGTTCAGCTGTTGCCCGTGGCATATCCCCCAATCTGGTTTGTAACTTCACTGTTCTTGTGATTGCTAGATATCCTTCATTTTCTTGTTTTTGTTAAACTTGATTTTCCTCTTGAATATAACTGTTGGTGATTTGAGTATAACTAGCAAGCATATTTTGATTGTGAAGTGTATTTTGCCATTCATTTTTGCTTGTTGAAGCGAAGATCATTATTGTTTAACGTTGAAAACGTCTTGGCCTGAAGTCACTGCTTTAATATTGGTACTTTTCTATATCAACTGTCCATTCTTCAATATTATGAACTCACTATATTTTCTGGGCTTGAAAAAAAATTCTTCTAGGCACTGTTTTTCGGTGAAAATGGCCTGCCTTCATTTGTAGCGCGTCATCAAATTCCTGGCCTGGATGTTGTTGTTGATCCGTGTGCCGCCATTCTAGTCTTTGTTGTTACTGGGCTCTTGTGTCTTGGAATAAAGGAGGTACATCCTTCATATGTTCTTGATTCCCCTGTTAAGAGAAAATTTAATGTCATGGTTAATAATTTTTTAAAATTAAAAGAAAGCATCTCTTTGGTGCAGAGCACATTTGCTCAAGGAATTGTAACAACAGCCAATGTGTGTGTCATGCTATTTGTCATAGTAGCTGGCTGTTACCTCGGGTTCAAGACCGGTTGGGTTGGTTATGAACTTCCAACAGGGTAAGATGAGAGAGTCCAGGATGTCGTGGCCGATGTTCATATTATAAGATAGACTCTGTTTGAAAAATACCCTTATCGATTCTCAGGTACTTCCCATTTGGGGTGGATGGGATGCTTGCCGGGTCTGCAACTGTCTTCTTTGCCTATATCGGGTTTGATTCAGTTGCCAGCACTGCTGAGGAGGTCTCGTTCCACCACTCTTCAATTTCTGCATTACTTTTCATGTTGTCGTCTTTGTTTGAGAACCTTTAGCTTACATAGATTGTTCCCCACTTCTGTGGCAGGTGAAAAATCCCCAACGTGATTTACCGCTCGGTATTGGTCTTGCGCTCTTCCTTTGCTGCTCTCTCTACATGATGGTCTCTGTTGTTATTGTCGGTTTAGTTCCTTACTATGCCATGGATCCTGACACTCCGATATCTTCTGCATTTTCAAGTCATGGAATGCAATGGGCTGCGTAAGTACATGTTTGTTCATTCATTCCTTTTAATTTCTGTTGCTACAGAATTGCACGAGACTGATTTCGTTTCCTCCCTTGAAATGTAGATTCGTGATAACGGTTGGAGCTGTCATGGCTCTTTGCTCGACACTGATGGGTTCGCTTCTACCACAGGTAAACTATGAAGCATGTATACTGATAGGTAGAGTAATGCATCAAGATCTTCCGGGTTAACATTTACCGATAATTTGTTCGGAAAAAAAAATACTTTTTCGGTTGGTGTTTGGATACCTTTCTGGTCTAATGCCAATGTTAAGTCATGTTCGTGAACTGTAATCACTACCACGACCTCAATGCAACTGTGTTTTACATTTTCAGCCTCGAATTTTAATGGCAATGGCTAGGGACGGCCTGCTGCCTCCGATTTTCTCCGAAGTTAACAAAAGCACTCAGGTTCCTGTTAAAGGGACGGTGGCAACTGGTATTTGTGCCGCAACATTGGCGTTCTTCATGGACGTTTCACAGTTGGCAGGCATGGTAAGCCACTGTTATTCTTATTTTTTGTATCTTCTATAAAAGGAGAAGTTTTCCGGTTAAATCAGAGAATTGATCAAAGGAAATTACTTTCACGAGGGTTTGAATATTCCTTGTAGTTCCAGTAGACACACACTGCAACACAAGCTATGTTCATGGTGCAGGTGAGCGTTGGTACATTAATGGCGTTCACGATGGTGGCAATATCTGTTTTGATACTCAGATATGTTCCACCGGATGAAGTACCTCTCCCCTCATCACTTCAGGAGAAGATCGATTCTGTTTCCTTTAAATCTAATGGGGAGAATTCATCTTCCGACAACCTTGGCACGTCCCGCGGCAGCAAGCAGCCTTTACTTTCCAAACCCGATGCTTCAGTCGATTATCCCGTGATGGAGAAAAAAGAATCTCAAGGGTGTTGTAAGTTACCGCTGATGCGAGATTTAGTATATGTTGATGATAATTACAGGGTTTTTTTGGGCAATATTTTTCATCTTTGATCTTTCGATTATGCAGGGGCTCTAAGTGAAGAGAACAGAAGGAAAGTTGCAGGATGGAGCATTATGTTCACTGTTATCGGGGCCTTCCTTATAAGTTACGCAGCATCGAGTTTGCATTTCGCAGGGTTAGTCCTATGCTTCGTCCTCTTAAAAAATTGCGTAACTTTTATCTATATACCCGTCCATCCTCTCATCTCTGTCAATGCACCAAAGACAACGTCGTTTAGGTTTCAAGAACGTATCTTTTTTTTTCTTGAACGTGATTCACAGGCTTTTCCGGTATTCTCTGTGCGGTGTTGGTGGACTTCTCCTTCTCGCGGGTTTGATTGTGCTGACTTTGATAGATCAGGATGACGCTAGGCACAGTTTCGGGCACTCCGGAGGTAAATGTTTTTTCTTTAATCGGTATAACGTCCAATATCTCTCCATCGAATTATGTTCAATGCACGACCGACCGTTATAGCGTTTTAACTCGTGAAGCGGTTGACACATAATTCCGTTTTTTTGGGTTAAACAGGCTTCATCTGCCCGTTTGTTCCTCTCCTGCCTATCGTCTCCATTCTCATCAATGCTTACCTTTTGATTAACCTCGGGTGAGTGAGTTTCCGTTACGGTTCCTCTGTATCGGGTATAAGAAACCCTGAGTGGTTAAAGCTAAATATCCATCAGAGAGATCATCAGGTTTCATATGTATGTTGTGTTAGATTAGATTCGTGAATGTTATGGAAACAGGGAACGTGACATTCGTTTCTCGTTGTGTTGGGCGTTTAATCTGAAACAGAGGAGGGACGTGGGCTCGTGTGTCGGTGTGGCTGCTGATCGGAGTTCTCGTCTACTTCTTCTACGGCCGAAGACGCAGCTCATTGTCCGACGCTGTTTACGTTCCGGCAGCTCATGCCGAGGAGATATACCGCGGCACGGGAGATGCATTGGCCTGAGACTCGGGAAAGATCATCGTCATCACTCGCCCACGACGATCTCTGTTCTTTAACCGTTTTTAAGTTGGGTTATGGAGATTCAAGAATCAAGGTTCGTCCATGGAGGAGGACGAGGAAGAAGATGGTATTTGGTAATAATGTAACATATAATATGTAAAAATTAAATTTGTTGTTGTGACAGATTATATGCTGTAATATGATCTTCTATAATCTAGTGAAAGCTTGTTGCCTTTGTAATTATGTTTCTAATTTTTTTTTGATACAGAATGGATATCTGAGATTTTTCGATGTATTTATTATTTCAATATATAAGATAGAATATTCAAATTTCGGATAAACTATTCGCATATCTCTAAGTATTTCATTATAAGATCATTGACCTGGGTATTAAAATATCGTATAATCAGATATTTTTGTCTTTTATTTTGTGTGTGACGGAGTATAAGTTATTTTAATAATTATTTAGATATTGACATGTGGGAAGAGAATATAATAAATATGACGGAAATAAAAAGAAGTGACAGTCGACAAAGTCAAAATCTCAAGAAGAGCCAAAGCTTTCCTCGCCGAGCTCCGGACGTCGACCTCTTCCATGGCGGAAGAAGCCTCAATCACCGCTTCTCCGCCATCGCCACCTCCGGTATGCTTCCTTAGCTCCTTTGTGTTACTGTAATTCTTTGCAATTGTGATCAATGATGTCTGGATATAAAAAGTTTCGGACTTCTTGATCCTTTCTGACATCAAATCTGGTTAGTTTGTGGAGGTCTCCTGCAAAATTTCTGGTAAGAACTACCGATTTGCGTCTGGAACAAAGGCGGAATTCGCTGTCGCTTTGATCAACAGGAAACTGGGTTTAGTGAATCCTCGTGTGATTTACATCGAAGCGGTCAAAGAAGGCGACGAACCGATCAGTTTTGGTCCTCATGCGGATCTTGTGGATTATGGGCATAATTGGAAGTTAAATGCTGTAAACGATGCGAATCATCCTGGTAAATGCTTGCCTCTTCGCTTTGAGATTCCGAATTCTGGGAATACGTTTGGTTTTTTGTACAAATCATTGGGCAGTCGAGTATAATTTCTTAATTGCTTTCGTTTCGGTTGATGAAAACACAACGCAACATGTGTTCAAAATGTGTTTTGTTGGCCTTTGCTTGTGTCTTAAGGATGTAAGAGCTCAAGTTTAGTAGCTTGATTTGTAGTAATCTGTGAACAGAAGGTTCATTTCGAGCAGGTTAATGATTTATAAATGTTTTTGAAGTTGTCTCCATAGCTGTGAAATCATCTAAACCAGTAGAATTCACATCCAATGCCAAAAAGAAATAAGAAAGCTAGTAACTTGAACAAGTATCTGGTAATGCTTATGGTATTGTGAATGGTAGACTAGTCAGATCTATGATGATGACGGTGATTAATGGATGATGTTTATGCCAATTCGTGTCCTTTTCTCTGTTTCTTACTCCTTACTCTTATGGATGGGGAGCAACTGTGAGGTGACATTTGATAATTGTTTCAGAAGATTTTGATTGAAAATCTGAAGCAGTTGGTACCCGGTACTGATAGTTTTGTCGGTGTTTACTGTATAAGTATTGTGATGCATCAAAATAGTCCAAGTGATGGTGTTTTTGATAGTGGTATCTGTCCAAGCATATGACAACCTTTGATGAATTTTGTTTTTGCAATCATATGAAGGGTCGACAAATCTTTGTTTTCACAGGGCACACTACAGCTCTACCCCTTCTGTTTTGCCATTTAGTGTGACATGTAAGCTGGTATCTCATTTGATGATATTGTTTCCATAACCTTCTCGATTCAGGAACTGAGAACAGCGATGGGGTTCCCCTACAAATACCAAGGAAAATTCCTTCTGCTTCATCGGTAAATTTCTCCTCTTCCATTGGTTACTTCAGATGAGGGTATTTCTCCGTATGATTCATACTGTCGTAATATAATTTGCAGTGCTAATGCTTTATTCTGTTGTTTCCTGTGCCATGAAGTTGGTCCTTTTTGAGTATATATCATATAATACAGTCCATTTATTGGAGTAGAATTTACAAATCACACTTGAGCCATGAACGATGGCCGGATTTTCCTTCTCGCACTTGCTTATTGCGTTAAGATGCTGTGATCACTTTGTGTTTCGATATGGTTAAACTGCTTCATCTAATTTCTCGACATCTTTTCTTGTTGGGCGGATTTCGGGATACAGGGTCCGGATGATTCAAAGTCGGAAAGGAGGAGTTCGAGTCCGGAGGCAAAGAAAGGGTTGAGTCCCGTTTACATTGGTAAGACATTGGTTGCGTTTGTTTTGATGCTTGTTCTTGGCGCTCTCTTCACAACAGCCCTTGAGAACCTTCCACTACTGATATCGCTCTTGAACTCATCCATGTGATTTGATTTGTTGAATAAACATTGCATAATATTGACGACTCGTTTCTTAGATTCTTCATATATTTTAAAAGGTGCATTCAATTTCGTTTACAAAAAAATTCTTCTTCTGTTGGATTCCCACGATCTTATTAATGTACTTGAATTTGATTTCACTAAAGTTCTATGAATTTGTATTCAATTTGGATTTCTTTTCATTCTCTTCTTCGGAACTCTGGCTCCCGACAATATTATTCCTCCAATTTCACTTGGTTTCACTAAAAGGTAAAATCACACGTACTGAATAATTCTAGGAGTAATAAATTTAGGAATATTTTCGTAATTTATTCAAGTATTGGTAATTGAACTTAGAAAAAAAAAACGATGCCAAATTCGAATTCATGTGTTTTACGTTTAAAATATCGAATTCGAATCTGAATAACTCTTAACATTCAATTTTCGGATCGGGCTCGTGACGGATGTTTTTTTTTTTTTTTTTGTGGGAACAAAAAGTGTTATTACATAAAGTATCAACTAAGTGGTCTTAAAATATGATTTGGAAGCCAAAGGTTCCGAGATGCTGCAAAAGCAGTAAATTTATTTCAACACGTGCAAGATATAAGATATACCTCTCTCTTGACATTTCTACACGTGAAGAAGAACTCTACTCACATCGAGTGACTTGGGATTTTGATGTCTTAGAATTATTTCTCATTGATTGCATGACATCGGCATCCATGTTCAGTCGCATCCGTATCGATATTGACTGACCATATCCACGAAATTATTTTTTTTATCGATTTTGTAAATTAACAAGTTCAGTGTAACCTTGTTTATTTTTTACATTGATTGGCCATTTATGGTTTATGTTTTTGTTTTTATTTGTTATTTGAAATATACCAATATTAATAATTGTATTATCGGTTCACATACACCCAAGCTTTCATATCTGTGGTTTGAAACCAACTTCATCCCCAAGTGAACAATCAATTTAAACCACACTCGAATTTGTGGTTCTTTAGTATTTGTATATCCATAACATACGTATGGATATTCTTATCTTTTAGTTTTTGTATATCCATTACATATGTATAGATATTCTTATTAATATTTAAATAAATCTTTCATCCTTTTATTTGCTCCATTTATTCAATTCTCTTATACAAAAACATAACCAAATTAAATAACACGTAATAACACCCGATCTAACAACCAACCAATTGAATATAATTTTTAAAAATAAAATTAGGCAAACACAATCCCACTATAAATATAAATTGAAATTGAACCGTATGTTATACATATGGTATGTGCTACTAAACCGAACCGAACCGATATAAACCTTAAATTAACCAAGTATCTTTCTTTTGTTCATATTGTCCAACCCTAAGCTCATACAGTACCGGAGAAGGTACATCTGAATTTACCTGCCATGACATTTTTTTTTTGCATATGATTTTGACTAAATTCTTGCTGAAATTCTTTTCACATGTGAATTAAATTGGAAATTATATATGCGTGCGTTGTAGTTTGATGACTACCTTAGTAAATTAATATTCAGACAATATTTCTAGTTTGGAATATCCCCACTTGCTCTCTATATATTATCGGATACATTTCAACTTCATTAAACCCAATCACGAATATAAGAAAATAAATATATAAATAAATAAAAGATTGGCCAAGTTATTATCTTCTTACACAAAAATAGATTTTGTTGTTTAAGAAAACGACAAGTGGAAATTGAAAATATAGGTTGAGTGGGAACTCACCGAAACAATAGCACGAGAATGACATAATTGAAGAGTTGACTTTTTGGGCGGACACAAAACTCTTCATATCCATATATCCCTTTACCCAAAAATAAAATACTATAATTAATATAATATTTATTTTTCTTTTAATTATCTCTCTCTCTCTCCATAAGTGTGTGTGTATATATATAGGACTACACCATTATGTGTGTATATCCCATTCACATTACGGCATACATGCCTTAGAAGCTCATAACATTCGGAAAACAGTGATCTCTTTCTCGGTGTTTGAAGATTCTCTCTACAAATAAAGAACCCGAAAAACTTTCCATTTATAGTTGGAATCTTCACTGCAAAGTTATGTATCAAATGGGCTTTGTGAGGCTAATCGTCCTTTTTCTTGGTTTCACCTGTGTCCTTGCCTGTGTTTCTGCAATTCCTGTTACCAGTATGTTCTCCCTCTCTCTCTCTCTCTCTATATATATATATATTATTAATTGGGTTTCCATTGAAGAAGTATCGATGAGTTTTGAGTTGATTGGATCATTTGTTCCTTTTTGAGTTTATAAATATAAGAAAATAACTACATATATATGTATATATGTATATATATTAATTGCTTGTATGTGTGTATACATAGGGAGTTTGAAGTCTGTCGAGGGCAAGCCTTCATCAGTTCAAAGCTTCTTCCCTGAGGTCTCTCTCTCTCTCTCTCTCTCTCTATCTATCTACACACACACACACGAACTTTATCACAAGCGGAAGATTCTCTGTAAAGCAAATTAGTCGGCTTTTTCTCATATTTTAATAAAAAAATAATAATTAGTATGATTTTCATGGATCCATTTTTTATCTTAAATTGTTTGCCGAGATTGCAGACATTGAATTTTTTTGAGGGGGAAGTGAGAATTTCTAGTTGTGAACTATTTAATCTTATCATATTATAAAGTCGGTAAAAATTCAAATTGGATTACCACGGGTTTTTTTTGGTTTTAATTGGATTACCACGTTATAATAACTTAACCGGCCGGTTAATTTGTTTGTTAATGTTTAGTTTACTTCAAAAAAAGTTGTGAGCTCAAATTGGACATAGAAACATAGTTCCAGCATGGTTAGGTTTCCAGATTCAAATTTTTTTATATTAAAATTTTTATATCAATTATATTTTTTATATTGAATTCCATTCAAATTTGGTTCGATATTTATTAATAAAAATGATCATTTAGAAACCCAGTTTTAAAAATTATTTTTATCTTCAATTCAAATTGATTTAGATTCCAATTTAAAAAAAATTATAAACATTTAATTTTTTATATATTTATTATTCTATTAAAAAATATGACTTTTTGTTTAGACCCAATCGAAATGAATTATACCCTTATTGTTATATTAACGAGTTAATGGCTTCCACGTAATACCACTTTTTCATAATTTCTTTTATTCGATCATTTTATTATTTATAGTGGATGCATGTCAGCTTATTAGCTGTGAAGGCCCAAATAATTGTATATAATTAATAATGACTTCGCCCGAGATAATATGTTCATATATTTTTTTATAGTTTATATGCAAAAAATAGGCATGGGCAACAATTAATTAGCGAATCATTTTGAATTCCATTGAAAACTTGGAGACCTACATATCTTTGAATTAGATCCGGATAAAAACTCGAATATGAATATTTGATTTTCACAGCAGTATATATAAGGATATTCCACATAGCATCATTTTTCAAATATAAATCTACCTAGATGCATAATTTGGATTCAAATATCCTAAAGTTTTCAATATTCAATCCTAATTAACCAACATTATTACAAAAGGAAAAAAATATTTTCTCTCATTTATTTATTATAGTTTTATGATGTTATTTTACATATTTTGATATAATTTTCACGTAAATGATTTGCAGGAGACAACCTATAAAGGTGAAAGTGGGGAAGAGATGATGATTGGATACATAGAGATTGCGAGAAGAATCGACATAGAGAGCAATGATTATGCAGGGACCGGAGCCAATCCTCGTCATGATCCAAAAACCCCCGGAAGCCCGTAATTTGTCGTGTCAACAAAATTCAAAGTAATTTTGTTAATTATTATTATTAGTGTAATTATTTTTCTTATTAATTTTGTTGTATTGTGTCATCAAGACATGAAGTGATTGTGCTTTGTGTTTGAAGTTCTTATGTTCTCTAAAGCTTACCCTTCTCGGGGACCGTACGTACGACTCTTAAGTGGTGATGTGTACTAAATATGAAGTTTCGTACATAAAATATGATATGTTAACTAATATTTGCGATTTAACCATTAAAACATCCATAAAATACGGATTATGAATGATTTCTCTCTTAGATAAAATATGGTTCGGATACAACGAGAAAGAGCACAAAAACAATGAAATCGAAATAAAAACAAATGAATCTGGATATGATCTTCTAGGCGTGTAGAACACTTTCCTAAAACCGGAAGAATACGTTTAGAGATACAAAGAAGATCAGCAACATTAATTTGTTCGTCAAAAGTTGTCCGAAACAGAAAAACCCGACAAAGATGATGAACAAGAATAAATGGAGAAGAAATAACAAATTTCTTCACCAAAAAGGCTCACCAATCTCTCAAAATCAATTAGATCTTGTCTCTCCAATATTCTCTGACGTTTCTGGTTATAAACCACCAGAAACATCATCAAAAGTTGCATTCATTTAGTAGTTTTCATGCGAAAAGTTGCATTTGTTCATGTTCTAGACATTTAACACGTGTCAAATGTCTGTGCAAAAATAACATTTGCTCAGAGAATTGTCACGGTTCGTGTTGCACCTAACACAGTCTGTCTCAAAATGTCTGAACAAAAAATAGTATTTTTTCAGAGAATTAACACGACTCGTGTTGAATCTAACACGGTCGTGTTGTAGTTAACACGCCCGTGTTACATTTAACAGAATCCGTGTTGAATCTAATATTGCCCGTGTTGGAATTAACATGTCCATGTTATAGCCCGTGCAGAATTTCTACACTTAAATTTCACTATTACATACAAGTATATACTTCACAAAATATATGTATATACTTTACCAATTCATACTATATCATTTACGAATATATAACTCCTTCATCATATTCGTAATATATATAAATATGAATCACATGCCATCAATTTACTCTAAAATAAACAACATTCTCGAATCGAAACAGAAAAAAGCGTAATGGAAATACGTGTAAAATATACATATAACCATACGGAAATATGCCTGTGTTCACTAAAATAATAAATCAAAGTCTAATTCACACATGGTAAAAAGTCGGGGAAAAGAATACGACCTTATAACAAGGCAAAATGTTCAAACTATTGATGTTATAACTTATAAATAAATACAGAAACGGTTTAAAAAAAACAATGTTATGCATTGGATATAACATGTATGAATTATAATTTTTAAGCGATGGCTTTTACATATAATTAGATGAAATTACATTGTCTAGTTTAGGTTAGAATAAGATAAAGAAGAGACATATGTTCTTTGACTCTAACAATGGAGAAAAGCACATTAGACATTGTCTAGAGGCCCATCCATAAATAGTTTTAGTTTTAGCTTCGGTTCCGTACAAAAAGTTTTAAAACTTCAGGTAAACATGATTAAATTAAAAGTAAAAATTAATTTAATAATCAATATATGCTGAACAAACTTCAATATAAATTGTCACTCCCACTATTTCATAATATTTGACGTTTTAGCCTATTTTTATATTGCTAAATAATTGTTTTTAGATTTTTAGACAATTTTAAAGTAATTTTCAATTTTATCCTCAATAAAAATTATCAAATTTCAATATTCATGGTTTTGAAAATTTAGTTGTTAAGTTCATTGCAATTGATAGGATCTGATTATATTTCCTCTAGTGCTGAAGCTTTTCAGAGACAACCTAAATGTTCTTTTTTCTGGCTCAATAACCTTGACTTGTAAGGAAATCAATTTGCTGAAAAAGGGTGAAGAAATAGGAAATCTAGTTGTAATAATATGGTTTCTCATATATTTTGGTACCAAATCCATTTTCATAAATTCCAGTATACGGCATGCTTAATTCTACCGATACACAAAATAAGATTGAAAAATGCTACGACATCTAACTATATCGCAAAACTAGTTAACCACATAAGAAAAAAAAATTAAAATTCAGTCTACCAAGAGAACAACATTCGAACTTCACATCCAACTTGGATACTTCAGCGGGTGAAACAGGGTGCAAAGCACTTGTCCCGCCCCAAGTTCGAATCCTAGGATGGGGAGGAAGCATATATTTCAAAGCATATGCTTGGTTCCCAGACCCGAGATTAGTCTGGGTTTCGGTCCAGGATGCTCGGTCATCAAAAAAAAAAAAAAAAAAAAAACTTTCAAACTTCACTCACCACATGCTAACTGAAAACAGAAACAATGTAAAAGATGACAAGGAAATCCACACAAGCAAAGCCAAAACATGAACCCCTTTAAACCCACCTGGTAAAGTTTCTCTACTTGTTTCAAGATGTAAATTTACCAGGACAGATAGAGAAACTGAGCCCTGGGCAACAAAAGATAACATTACAGGGGAGATAAATACATGCTTTGGGCACCTAACAGGAACTGCCTACTTTTAAACGCGGATGGCCACCGAAAGAGAGATTGTTACATTAATAAGGGTGAATAAAGAAAGACAATACCAAACAGATTTTCAACAATAACATAGTACCTGAGCAGTAGGGGCACAGAGGTGAAGAGAGAGAGCTTCTTCTGTATAATGTGCACCTGGAGTACCTTCATAGGAGAACAATTCATCCAAGACACAAGGTAATTGCAACCTGGTTCCCTCGATTGGCCGCCCCTCCGCTACAGAAAAATAACAATAAGTTGCTGCCGGAATTCAGAACCGGGAAACGACAAAGTCAGAAACAGCTAACTGGCTTTTGACAAGATCTCTGACATCCAAATCCAAAAAACTATCGAACTGTCTGTAAATTTTTATAGTTTATATGCAAAAAATAGGTATGGGCAAAAATTAATTAGCGAATCATTTTGAATTCCATTGAAAACTTGGAGACCTACATATCTTTGAATTAGATCCGGATAAAAACTCGAATATGAATATTTGATTTTCACAGCAGTATATATAAGGATATTCCACATAGCATCATTTTTCAAATATAAATCTACCTAGATGCATAATTTGGATTCAAATATCCTAAAGTTTTCAATATTCAATCCTAATTAACCAACATGGACGATGGAAAACGAACAACGTAGAAGAGAAATTATCATACCATCGATGAAATCGTCCTCGACGAACTGAAGAACTCTGGGGATTCCTCCTCCTGTTCCGATTCCCGGACGCTTCTCCGTCTTCGACGCCCTTCCGCTTACACCCGCCGGAACATGAACCGCTTCCGACAAACTTCTCGATCCATCACGACGCGCTTCTTCGATTCACCGGAAATGCCGCAAAAGAATCCATATAAGAAGAAGAAGAATGCTCTCGACAGATGTGACGCGACCGTTCAAATTTATACAAAGTAAATATCACAATTTACAATTTTACCCTCGGCCCAAAGGTCCAACGGATAAATAACAAGGCCTTTTGGGACAATGCGCATACCCGACAGCTTGGCAGCAACCCATCACTGTTTTACGTTAAAGAATTGTATATAGTCAAATATAATTCATTTTTGTTTTAACAAGAGTATTTACTGCACATGAAACTTCACCTGAGTTTTTTTTCTCTATCACAATAAATTCTATTGATTAAAAAAATCTCATAATATAAATCACTCATCTAAAAAAGAAATTTACCCAAACTGTCTCCCTCTCAAATTCACATTCACCAAATCATGAGTAAACACTCACGAACAGAACGTACCCTTTTTAAGAAAAAATATACTTGTACTCTCTAAAGAGCTGATATACACTTGTCTCCTTATTTAACCTTTTTTTGTTCGCCTCAGATCTCTACTAAATGATTAGATCGACTTCTCTTTGATTTACTCTGATTTGACTCTATCTTCGAGATCCCATCTTCATCTCTATCTGTTTAGTCTTTGACTCTATCTCTTCAGTTCTTTGATTTTATCTGAATCTCTCCTGAAATCTCTCAAAGTTGTTAAACCTGCAACCACTCAACAACCAAAACAACTCGTGCAAATACTTGCACTAACAATCTCCCCCTTTTTTGTTATTTCAGATCATGCACACAAAAACAAATCTTTCAACTGACTTCATCAGGTTTCAAACCAAATATTATAATATCATGTGCAAAACAAATCAAAATAGAGTCATAAAAAACATAAGAGTTCAGATCATCACAAGTGATCAAAACACATAGAGTCATCAAAAGCATATGAGTTCATATCATCAGTCAAGTGAATATAAGAATCGAAATGATGAGTCATCTAAGGGACTCCTGACTCTTCTAGTTTTTCTGATTGTTCCTGACTTCTTTGATGGTTCAATCTTCTTAGGTGACAGTTTGGCCTTCTTAGGCACCTCAGCATCTTCTTCATCCTCTTCCTCTAAGTCTTGTTCTTCCTCATCCTCTAAGTCTTGTTCTTCCTCATCCTCTAAGTCTTGTTCTTCCTTATCTTCTGAATCAAGATCTCCCTCAATTTCTCCCCCTGTGGGCATGGATGAAATAATCAAAACAAGTTTTTATCAAGGTGAGAAGTACCTGATTCAATGTTGAACTCATTACTCAGTGTTGCATCGACGTAGTCATGAACTGTTGCATGAGTTTTCTGACATTGTGTTGCATGCTTCCTCAATCCGAGCTTCATCTTTATCAGTGCCTTCTCTGCATCCTTGAGAGTTTCCAGCATCTTTTTAAAATTCTTCATTCCTTTTTCTTTTTTCCTCTTGATTCTGGACTCAACCACTAGGAGTTTTTTAATCCCTTCGGTGTTCTCATTCGGATCAATGATTTCGGGACACTGCTTAGTAAGTATGTTTTGGATTAAACAAGGATAAGGTAGTATGAACCTTGCTCTGAAGTTCAGGACTCTCTACAGAATATGATCAAAGATCATGTTCCCATAGTTGATCTTGATTCCCTTCTTCACACAGTAGATTAATACTGCAAACCTTTTGTGAAGCAGACTTGATCTCTGAGTTGATAGCTAGTTTGATCTGGCGATTTTGAATAGCACCGAGGACTCGAAGTTCAGCTCTACTGGAGCTATTTCTCTCTTTCTCTTTTCGTCATAACTATCAGTGAGTGCTATCTCTAGTTCTTTCTAATCAATATCTCGATCCAATCATCCATGGTTGTCACAAGTGAATTCTTCAATCCCAGAAACATGTTAATCACCGTTAGGGAGAACTGAAGAATTTTCTCTCTTACGTACACTCTGTGATACATCAGATCATCTTGCTTTTCTACCTTCTTGGTAAGGTTTGCATAGAACTCTTTGACCAGAATTTTGCTGTGTGGACATGCCTAAGTGACAGTCTCTCACAGATCTTGACTTTACAGAATGTCCCAGATGCCCTGCTCTTTAAGGTTGCTGATGTTCACATTTCTTTCCACAATAGTGTTTAGGTTCTTCATATCGTTGAACCTTTGTTCAGCCTTTTCGTCAACGA